AGCGAGTCACAATAGTCCGATATAAGCATGAAGAATAGTCCACAAGGCACCAGCACAACAAACAAGGCAGAGTTCAAGTTATGTTCCCCGGATGAGTTAAGCAGGCAGAGCCCCTGTATCATCACGGAGCTGCTAGCAGAGCAGAAAGCTAACAGCAGCAGTCACTGGACAGACCTGTCACTCAATGTGACCACGCCCTAATTTATGCATAACTTTAAGGCTTAATATAACTTAAACTAATTATAAATGGTAGTAACTCATTCATAAGCGGTGATTTGTTTAACACCTTACAATACAAATTATAAATGGTTGTAACTCATTAATAAATGGGAATGTGTTTTACACTTTACAAGGCTCCCTTTTGGCAGTTATAAATGTTAGTAACTCGTAAATAAATGGTCATAAAGAGATGCCAAGAAACATCAAGATGGAAGGGGGGGAATCAACTCAGTGAACAACAGATACCAAGGATGCTGGCTGATGAAGAAGACGAAGTAAGCTAAGTAGCCAACATAAGGCTTCTTCATCTTGCTAAATAGTGAGCCTGTGTTGATGTATGACAATATGTTAGAACTGGTTTATAAATCGTTCTTAATGATTAATAAAGTGTTTACAACCTAATTCATAACCCAATTATAAAACCTTTGTGAATCCTTTATAAGGGTAGTCTTATTGTAAAGTGGTACCCAATATATACAACTTTATAAGCAATCAATCTATCAAATATGTTCCATACAAAAATAATTGGTGGAAAAGGGGGAACAATTGCTCTTTTGGTCAAAAAGGTTGCAGACCCCTGAGCTAATGTATACTTCTACTCCACTAAAGTGTAAGGTAAATATTGTGCTTCAGATTTTTCTTTGTTACATATAAGTAATATTTTCCCCAAAAACATTTGATGAAATCATAACACATGATGGGTTATTACAAACTATTTTTAATAGTATAGGGGGCTTAAACAATGCTACTAACAAGCAAGGATTTGTTTCTTTTACATATTATATACAAAATGAGGGGCTGGTATGGCACATTTTATTTATTAAAGCACATATAAGATATTTAAAGTACATTTTGCTTACGTTTATTTGTATTGTTATTATTATGTTTCTGAATATGGATTTGATTTGCAATTAAGCCTTTTTAAATTGTTGCATTAGTACTTTTACTTAAGTAAAGGTGTTGTCTTCCCATTACTGACCACTGCACATTGTCCTCCACATATTCCCATAAAACAGGTGGGCCATACAGCCCGTTGCAGACCGCCAGCAGCATAGGGACCGTCCAGGTTCAGAATAAGGTGGGATCGGATGGAAGAGACTTTAGCATCCAACTGAATTTTTAGGAGCATTTCATGAATTTTAGAAACCATATGGTGCAAGTTTAGGAGGTGTGGTTAACACAGGCACTCACAGGTGATCCAGATAGACCCATGTCTCCCTTGTCTGCTTTGGGTCCCGGGAAGCCCATGACACCGCTCTCCCCTCTGGGCCCTTCATGACCGGCTGGGCCTGCAGGACCAGTATCTCCAGGCTTCCCTCTGGGTCCCTGAAACACAAACCCACTTAATGAGCCTGAAGGAATCCACGTGAAAACAGACATCCTTTACAGACATTTCCAAACGGGAGCATGATTCACCCTCTCCATGTGTCATCAGCTGATGAAGTTACCAACATGTGATCACCATTATGTCACTATTCAACTGTTTGGTATTACCTTATCTCCGTCCACACCTGGAGCACCCGGCAGACCAACTTCACCCTGAGGAAACACCAAGGCTTTATTACCTACAAGGCAAAGCAAGCAACTGTTTGAAGGCTAGAGTCCCTAAAATCATTTTCTTTTGGCTGTTCATTTAGGCTATCCTTTTTTTTTTTTTTTAATACACCTGATTCAATAAACTGACATCAAAAACCAGGGACCAGTTATCCTTAATTGGTGTATAGGGGCCAACAAGATTTGCCCCAGGGCCTCCTACCAGAATTGTCCTCTGATGATAAAACTAAATGATTAATAAAATAGTATTTCCTACCTTGTTTCCAGGGGGGCCTGAAGGTCCAGGTAATCCAGGGGGGCCCTAAGAGGAGGACACATGTTGTCATTCAAAAGGGTATTTTCTACTGTACTGTGTCTGCACATGTCATGAAAATGCTTTGAAGTTCTTACCATCAGGGGTATGTTGCGAATATCCTGTGGAGGAATACAATTTGTTGAATTAATCTTTATTTGATTATACACGTTTTATACATGTAAATTAAGTGAAACATAATATGAGTTACATACATTTTCATTGTTGTGGATTTCCGCCTTTCCTGGCTCCCCAGTTGGGCCTGGAAGACCCTATAAGGAGAGAAAGACAATAACCATCAACATTTTGATTAGAAAACTAATATTTTATGTACTATGTATCGATATATGGGTTGACTTACTCTTGGTCCAACTGAGCCTTCAGGTCCTGCTTCCCCCTAGAGGTTAAAGGAAGGTATGACACTTAGACCCTCCATCCACAGTCTCAGCTTGTGATAGTATTTTAAATTATGTTGTCTTACCTTGTCTCCCTTGTTGCCTGTGTCACCCTGGAAAAGGAATATATATTGTGACTTCCAAGGGCAGTAGATTAGTTGTGTCAACAGTGCTAATTAATAACCTATGATTGGTACCCAGTGCCAAACGGTTTCCCATTACCTTGGGTCCCAGCTGGCCTGGTAGTCCTGGGGAACCCGGTTCTCCTTTAATTCCCGTGGCAGCAATGCGTGGCTCTCCCTTGTCCCCCTGCCGTACATAGAGAACAAAGTATTGGCTGAACACAGAACCCTTATTACCATCAACCTAATCTCCGGGTCCATCGTCAGTCTGATATGCATTTAGCCTCTGGGGGCTTCAAATATTATCTCTGGGTTTCCAGGGAAACCAGCAGATATCCAGGCCAGGAGTTCCTCTTCTGTGTGAGCTCATAGTTACAGTTGGGGTTAAGAGAAGATGTCATGCCAATTAGCCAATAAGCCAAATTGATAAAAAGTTGTAAAAGCTAGGTGGGCTCTGAGATTGCATTCTAGCATTTGTTGCGCTCCACAGTTTAGCTGCATGCAACCAAAGCCCCCTTAAAGGTACTTGGTAAATACTACAAATACTGTTCATAGATTAGAATGCTTACCGAAAATACATTAAAGAACTATTTGACTGGTAATTAATGTCCATTTAAATTCTCTCAATCCTGTACTGTTTTATTATCATTTTCAATTGGCGAGTTAATTATATATTTCTGTCAATATTACTTTTACTCAAAACTTCTCATTTCCATTACAAAACCCCTTATGGGACACTTAAAATGGGATCCCCAAATCGAGCTGAATTCCAAATCTCCAAAGTGAGTTAGTGAGATAGTTAGTGGATTTTAGTTGAGATTATAATTCACAACACATCAAAGACAATACATTCTTCATTGATTCATACTGAATCATATGATAATGTGTAGCATCCACTGACAGATGACTGACAAACAGGATAAGGTCAACAATTGAGTTAGTTATGTGAATTATACCATCCTTAAAAAGACCAAAGACCTCCACGTAATGGCAAGTGAAGCATGACCAGCAGCACAGAAAGGTAAAACACAACACAGGGAGCTTTGGGCAGTCAAACAACACCACACAAAGCACTGATGAGTATCTGACTTTACAGACGTCCAGTTACTAGAGAAGTGAAGACCACTGACAGAAGCACAACAGACAGTTAGGGGTGCCGTTCCATTCAAGGCCTACCCTGTAGCCCCTCTTCCCGGGGATGCCAGGGGACCCAGGGATGCCAGCCTGGCCCTTTGCAGCGGAAGAAACATGATTATGACCCACTGATCTCAATATGTGTAATAACTGCCACACAGCTCAGAATTGACTTCACCTTGAACCCAGGAGCGCCCGGGAGTCCTGACCCTCCCTACCACGGCAACAAGGTAAAAGATGGTGGAAAAAGAAGAAAATAAAAACAGTTGATATTGTTTCTTCCAGATCGTAAAAATGACATGCAGAAAAGCGCAAACACACCACATGCAAAATAACTACAAAGAAATGCAAAGAGGCATACAAAGACTCCAGATAACATCTGAGCGGTGTGTGTGTCTCTAGTTTGAGAGGACTGCTTCTCTGCAGAACTGCAAAACGCTAAATAACTAAAAAACATTTTACCTTCAGTCTGGTTGCACTTGTAAGTGGGTTGGGGGCTAGGGAGGGACCCATTGTATCTTTCAATATTAAAGTATACAATAACATTAAAAACCGTGACTGATTACGTGTGTCAAATGGCAGCCACAGCATGAGGAACTCTGTGAAAGTGGTCGTTAAAAATAGAAAGGGAAACGCACTTGAGCCTTTCAGTTCGTCTGTGTAGCTGCTGCTCTTTCAGATTACTGAGTAGATGGTTTAAAGATGATGAGCAGTCACAGCTGTGACCACCACCCACAGACAGCTCTCTGGTGGGGGGAGCTCCTTCAGTCCGGTTTGCCCTAGTGCAGTGGTTCTCAAACTTTTTCTGTCAGGCCCCCCCTTTGGAGAAAAAAAAAAGTCGGGCCCCCCCAACACAAATAGTCAGGCTCAGTGGCGGCGCCAGAGATTCTATTTTGGGGGTGCTGTGGGGTAGCTTGACGTTTCATAGAGGGTGCTCAAACATTTAGGGTTTCCCATTAATGTACTGGTCGCTACAGTGGAATGTTCTACTGTAACAATCCCCACACACACACACACAGTGTACCCGCGACTGTTACAATGAAGGCTCGATAATCAGCTCACGGCATATAGGTGTAAGCAGGGGTAAAGTGTTATTTTTATAGGTGGTGTGTGGACCTCACATAGGGGGGTCAGGGGGCAAGCTCCCCTGGGAAGATTTTTAAATATTGAAGTTAAAAGCATCAATCTGGTGCACTTTGAGAGCAACATGAAGAGATCTATGGATACATCTCTCAACACCCATTTGAAACAGAACTGTAAACAGATTTACTTTTTCTTTATGGATATTTTACAAATCACTCCCTTTTTAACGTTATTCTTTTTTTAATGTCATATAGTATTTCATACCTGTTTTTAATTTATTCTCTTATTTTTTTATAACTATAATGATCGAGAGGAGGGTGTTTTACGCGAGGATTCGGTGTGTGGGTGTCTCGAGGAGGTACCTGGTGTTTTTGTGGGAGAACTTTCCGCGCCCCCCCCCTGTGTTGCCTAGAAACTTTCACCCCCCAGGGGGCGGGACAGGGCGTCACCGTTTAATGCGGGTACTGTGTTGCCGGTGTTGTGTGTGTGTGCTGTGTGTGTGTCGTGTGTGGTCGTGCTGGGTGTGTGTGTGTGTGTGTGTGGTGTCGTGTGGTGTGTGTCGTGGGTGTGTGTGTGTGTGTGGTGTGGTGTGTGTGTGTGTTGGTGGAAACATAAGCGCAGGGAACAATGACTCTCTCAAGGTCCAACTTCAACTCACGCTTATAAACATTACAAGTCTCCACAACACAAAATTAGTAAGTTACTCTATGAAGAAGTAACCAAGTTTACTTTATTTTGCAATCGTATTTTCGTATAAACAGCGTGATATAACGGACTATTCTCATAATTTTTGAACTTTTTTAATAAGGAGATACCATGTAAATCTTGTCTCATTTTTTTACAGCCCGCTAGATTAACGCAATTATTAATTAATTTATAATTAGCTGGACTGTCGCGATATAAAAAATATTATAAACCGGATTCACTATGCCGACTTATTGAAATTTCTTCGAGTATTGTCGAACGTCATTCCGTGGTGTGACTATATAAGCGATACGGATTTAGGATTAGTAGAATCTGCGGGGGTCTTTTTGCGCCCTTGTTAGGGAACCATACGCCCGGGGATTTTAGGAAATAATAGCGCCCGATTTTACGCGAACTAATTCACGCTAATTTGTAACGTCCCGAAAAATACACTAGAATACGCCACTTAACGCCCTTTTGGGCGAAGCGCTTTTATTATCGGTAAAAAATTTGTTATAACCCGGACAGAATAAATAAGAAGAGTGTGTGTTGCGACGGTGCTTGCAATTTGGGAAAAAGATAAGTTGAATTGTGTGTAAGTTAGAACAAATAAATAAACTTTCGTTACCCGATACAAATTAGTATGAGAGAGAGGAGTGTGTGTGTGTGGTCGTGCTTGTGTGTGTGTCGTGTCGTCGTGTGTGTCGTGTGTGTCCTCTGTGTGTCGTGGTGGTGTGTGTTGTGTGTGTGTGTGTGTGTCGTGTGTGTGTGGTGCTGTGTTTGTGGTGAAGAGGGGGCGGACGGTAAGACAAAGTAAATGAGCAAAGCAATAGACCCGTTCGGAGTTTTAGAACATCCGATGTAGTGAAGCAAGGTAATCATCGGGAGGCTTCGATGTTAACGATGATAGTAAGTGGCCTTCCATCTTACGGAGCCTACGCTACTCACAAATCCGAAATAACAGCTGGTCGTTCCGTCTGTCGTGTTCGTACAAACTTACTTAATTTTCACCTCGAGTCTACTGTGCGGTCTGTTTTTCAGTCTAGAATAAGATTCTGTGCATATCCGGAGGGTTATTGTTGGTCAACGTATGGTCCTTCCACGTCGTTATACAAAGGGGTGAAAGCACTTTCTGTGTAGCCCATGACGATTCCGAAATGGTTGTTAAGAAGATCAGGTCTTTTGTTTCAAGCATGCACACTTCCTTAAGTGTTCGTGCAAGGTGGATTGCCACAACAAATTGGGAATGACACAACTGTGCTCGACTAACTGCAGTGGCAGTAGTAGTAGTGATGACTGGGAGTGGCGAGTCGTGCTCCAGATGTGATAAGGAAAAAAAGAGTTTGAAGTCACACCTGTTTTGACGCCCCTAAGGGCGCCGAGGAATGGTAGTGATACCGCCGGTAAAGAATTTGTTTAGCCGAATTTAGCCGCCGGTAAAATAGACGGAACGGCAGTTAAGACGCTGCGCGGACGCAAAAGACCGCCAATGAAGAACAAGGGTTAACAGGAATGAGATGAACCAGCCGAACTCAGACGCCACAGGTCACGTGGTACCGGTTCTGCGTCCTCTGGCACTCGCTGCAAGGCAGCCCTGCAACAAGGAAAACCACAAAAACCACAAAACAACAACATTCCTCGAAATGTCTCCCTCCCTGTACCCTTGCGTCGATAGGTGCGGTCTGGAAAACGATTACTGAATCTACATGTCCAAAGGTACACCATGTTGACTGTCACTTTGGCCTACGAACATTGTCTTTACATCTGGGAGGTCTTTTTTGCGCTAGACGCTCAGCGTCCCCTTACTGGCGTATTAGTCGTTTACCGCGTCTAAAAGATTTTCCGGGCCGTATAAATTTCGTAGGACCAAGTGACAGTCAACTGTGTACCTTCGACAATGTATTATTCCAGTAGATCGTTTCCAGACCGGCACGGTCATCGACGCAGAGGGTACAAGGAGAGATTTTCGGAGGAATGGTTGATTTGCTGTCGGTTTTCTTGTGGTTTCTTGTGCAGGGCTGCCTTGCAGCGGAGTGCAGGAGGACAGAAACCTCGGACACCCAGCCGTGACCTTGTGTGGGCGTTCTGAAGTCGGACTGTCTGTGCTCTGTGTGTTTATCGGTGCATGCGGGCGTAAAATATGAGCTGTACGCTCTCAACTCACTCGTTTTATTTTTGTTGAAGTGAAGGGAGTACCGTCTGGCGCGCCATACTACCATTAACGTCTGCACTGCCAGTAAGATGTACGAGCAACCGGTTGTGTCTCTCTCCGTTTTGGTTGCCTTGGTGTCTCTCGCGTTCTACTTGCACACCTTGGAGTGGTGCTGCTCTCGTCATAAGACGATTCTGGTTCCTCTCTCTCGCTCTCTCGTACGTCGAACGCTATATGCTACTGGGATAGTGTGTCTCAGCCACCCTTTTGATCAAAGAGTGGGCATAGTTGTCACATAAACCTCTGTATGCCAATTATATTACGTCTTATAGGCTGCTACTGACATGGGTGAACAATAATCGCGTCAGAGATTGGAAAGCAGCAGACGGACGCGACGACGGTATTCGTGTTACGTAATGTCTGTAGTGAGTTGTCGGTTAGTGGGCTCCTGCAGCTGGAGCCACGAAATACGCCGGGTTCGTGTAGTCCAGATAGGGTTATGAAAGCTAGTTCGCTACCGTTGTTGTCTCTTGCGCTCGTCCTTCCGCAATCGAGCACTGTGCCTCAGGCTCTTCCGACTGTGCTGCACTCTAGCTGTCGCATCATTGAGTTGGTCTACTCCGCCTCTTCTACACACAGCCTTTGTCATGACTCGTCCGCTGCTACTGCGAGCAACTACGCATACGCACCGAGCGACCTAGTCAAGACTAACAGACTACACACACACACAACGCACACCACACCCACACACACCTCACTTCACAAGCACGACGACACACACATACTTTCTCCCATACTTACACTTGTTGAATATTGTGAGGCTCAAACCGACGCTTGTATTTTTGTTACTTGTATGCTTACACAGATAATTTAACGTATCCTTTCCCTAAGGTCCTAGTCTCAACTCACTCCTCCTGCACATCTAAATTTCATCAATTGACGTGGATTATAAGAAAAGTATGAGAGTGGAGAATAACTATACACGCTGTTGTAGAGGAGCGCTTGACGTGCGCTGTGTGTGTATCTCTTAATGGGAGACGTATCAACTATTGTCGTATGTTTGATGTCCTAAGTAACATCCTACGCACTTCCTGTAAATTCAGGCGAAATAGTGCCTTTCCTGTACAAGTTATATCAACGGTACAGATTTAGAAAGGTCCCTTACGGAGTCCGTCTAGTTCTTCCTTGCGCGAGGACAGAACCTCGTCCGGACTTAACATACCCCTCGGCGAGATGTCTTGGGAGAACCGTATTTTAATTGTGCGGTAGTTGGTGAAGGAATTGGTCTCTCCTATTATAATCTCCTCGAGTGTATTACGATAGTAGGCTTGGCGTTATGATTATCTATCTGTGTTCTTGATATGACTAAGCCTTAACACCAGTGAGGATGGTTTAGACTAGAATTCTGCCTTGTCGAATGTCGAGATTACTGGTGAATAATGTGCGTTGTGTGAGACTACCCAATTTAAGCCTTCTTTTCATGCAAAGGTTCCTATGTGCAATATTGTTATTATTTAGTCTCTGAGACCTACGACACAACATATAAGGGTTACCAACGGGTCCGCGATCTTCTGTTGGACCTCAATATTTGGAT